TCTGAGGAAGGGTCACTGGACCTGAAACACCAACTCTGATATTTTCTTCACTGATGCTGCTGGACCTGCTGAACTTTTCCAGCAACTTCTGTTTTTGGACCAAATATCCTAAACTGCTCTAGTCCATTTTGCCCATATCCCTCTGAACCTTTCCTATTCATGTACCCATCCAGGTGCCTTTTAAATGTTGTAAATGTACCAGCTTCCACTACCACCCCAGCAGCTCGTTCCAAACACCATTCCCGATGTGGAAAACATTGCTCCTCAGGTGTCTTTTAAATCTTTCCCCTGTCACCTTAAACCTGTGCCAACAATTTTGGACTCCCATACCCTGGGAAAAAGACCTTGGCTATTCACTGCAGCCATGTTCATCATGATCTTATAAACCTCCATAAGGTTACTCCTCAGCTTCTGACACTCCAGGGAGGAAAGCACCATCCTATTTAGCCTCTCCCTATAGCTCAAACCCTCCAATCCTGGCAACATCCTTGTAAATATTTTCTGCACCCTTTCAAGTTTAACAACATCTTTCCTATAGCAGGGAAAGCAGAATTGAATGCAATATTCTAAAAGTGGCCTCACCAATGTCTTATACAGCTGCAATATGACGTTAACTCCTATACTGAAATTTTTCTCTTTCAAGCTGTGAGCAGAAAGATGTAAAACTCGGTTTGATTATCTGTAAAGTTAAAAATGGCATGCTGATATGCAGTCAAAGAGCAAGGGCTACAAGAACTTGAGGGTGCATTGAAAATGAGGTTGTTGACGTGCTCTTCGAGCTGGCTTGTTTTTTGTTCAGACGTTTCGTTACCATGCTAGGTGACGACATCATTGGAGCCTGAAATGAAGGGATGTTATTCAACTCTGCTTGGAATTTACACTGTCCGGTCTGTTATGGAGATACGCTCCTAAGACCACTAGGAATCATGGTGGCCCACAAACCCACAGCCACTCTACGACAAACACTCACAAGGATTAAAGACCCCATTCCCACAACATGCAGAACCAACGTAGTTTACAAAATACCATGCAATGACTGCCACAAACATTATATCGGACAGACAGGAAGGAAACTAGACATCAGAATACACGAACATCAGCCTGTAGCAAAACAGCATGACGAACTGTCCTTAATATCGGTACATTCAGCCAATGAAGGCCATCAATTTAACTGGGACAAGGTAACCATAGTAGCCCAAGCCAACCATAGATATGCATGGGAATTCCTAGAGGCATGGCTCTCCGCCCATACTTTAATCAACAAACACATAGAATTGGACCGCATATACAAACCCATACAGATCAAAGCTGGAAATGACAGTATTCAACATAACAGACTGGATAGTTTAAATTCCAAGCAGATTAGAATAACATCACTTCTTCGGACGCGCCACTGATGATGTCACCTAGCATAGTGATGAAACTTCTGAACAAAAACAAGCCAGCTCGGCAAGCAAGTCAACAACCTCATCCACAACCCGAGCTACAGATCTTGGCCAAAGTGCATTAAAAAGTTATTATTTGAAATAAGCAACTAGAACTTAGATTGTTGGAAAATAATCTCACAACTGTGTTGTGTTCATCTCTAAAATGTAGAAGGTTATCAATTCATTAAATCTTATCTCAGCTATTTGTTCTGTCATCGAGAGAAACACAGCTGGAAGGTATAAATGTTAATATCATGGAATAATATTTATGTCCCCTTGTATAACATTGTACCGTTTTGCTGCTAGTTGATGTTCATGTATTCTGATGGTCTAATTTAAACCACCTTCAAAGTAAGTTACACAGATTGCTTAAGTGAATACATGCTATTGAATCCAAGAAGTTATTAATATCAGATTCAACCTGATACAGGAGCTACAACAGAGATTGTTCATATTTTCTCTGCTACTTTTTAAAGGCTGCAGCATGCAATCAGCACCATGTATGTTTTAATCTATGGCAGAATTGAACAGCTTTGCACAAAAAAAAGAACAAATAATAGAAAAAAATGACGGTTAAAACAAATAGGAAGTGAACTTTAATGGAGGTAGATCATTAATTTGGCAGCAATGTTTCCTCTTAAGGTGCATTATAAACACAAACCAACCATCCAGTATAGCTAGTGTTAGGCACACATTCTCAACAAGGTTCTCGAATTCATTATGGTTCTGTACAGGGTATCCCAAATTGTTAAGCTCTTGGGTCAGGTGGGATGAATTGGCTTCTGTTGTGGATCGTTTTCTCCTGGACCCAGAAGAATGCAGGGCAGTAGAGAGAAATAAGTGAGGAGGATTCTGAGAGAAATCGGCTTGCTGACCACAATTAAGAAGGGGGTCGCAAGGGACAGTGTATCAAGGAACAGTGAAGCCCCAAACATTGCATTACTATAGTGATTCCTTACTTCAAACCAAAAAAAGCTGTTAGAAAATTTGTGGTTTAAAAACAGCAGTGTGTCTTTATTATTAAAGGTGGTAGGAAATGTTGGAAAGCTTGTTTGCAGCATGTTAAACATGAGAAATTTTGGATCTAGAAGACATCCAGAACAGTCTCATCTACATGAAGTGGCAGAAGGCAGCAGTCCTTGTACAACATGTGGTTGATTTGAAGCAAAGATTCTCTTCACTGCACACTATACAAGGAGAGCGGTTTCTGGAACAGTTGTCCAAGAGGCTAGTGCCTCATTGTGATAGGCAGGCAGACAGGAGTCTGGAGACAGCAGGAGAGTGACCATTTGTCAATTAGAAAACAGGCAACAGGCTCAGGAAACACCAGGACTCCTTGGAGCTGTCTAACAGGTATGAAATTTCAGATGCCTTTATTTGTGAGCAATGCAATGGAGTCGGGGCTGGATGACTTGAGGGAAAACCACAGTCCTGTGGTGCCCAAAGCTATGCTGGGAAAAGAACGGGAGGCTGGTAGTCCGATCAGAAAGGTGGTAATAAAGGGTGATTCAACAGTTTGAGGAATAGGCTTCCTCATTTGCAGCCAAGATCGTGAATCTATATGTTCTATTGCCTCCCAGGTGCTAGTGTTTAGGACATAATGGGTGGTTGGATTAACTTATGGAAAAGGAGTGTAAACAACCAGTGGTTGTGGTTCATGTGGGAACCAACATGTAGAGAGGAACATGCTTGGAGGTCTTGCAGGCTCAGTTTCAGGAGATGTTCTGCGAAGTGTTTTAAATGAAGCATAGACTGGGTGACCACTTCGCAGAACATCTACGTTCTGCTCGCAAAAAAGATCCTGAACTACCTGTTACCTGCCACTTCAATGCACCACCCTGTTCCCTGGCCAACATCTCTGTCTCTGGCTTGCTGCAGTGTTCCAGCGAAGGTCAACACGAGCTGGAAGAACAACACCTCATTTTCTGCTTGGGGACCCTGCAGCCCTCCAGACTCCATATCGAGTTCAATAATTTTAGGGCCTAAACTCTCCCATATCCCAGCCCCCTACCCCACTCACCAGGCCTTGTTATCAAATAGCCTGTCATTACACACCACCTGTTGTTAGTCACTAATAGACCCCATTAACAACCATTCACCCTCCCATCCTGATCGTTGTCAACTCTTTGTCAGTCCAACTGCTCTTCCCTCGCTTTAGGCTCCATCCTATTGTTTACTCCCTACCCCATCCCCCTCTCTTTTTTCTGCATATAAACTGATGTTTTCCCACCATCAGTTCTGTGGAAGGGTCACTGGACCTGAAACATTAACTCTGTTTTTTCCTTCACCGGTCTGTCAGACCTGCTGAGCTTTTCCAGCAACTTTGTTTTTGTTCCTGATTTACAACATCTGCAGTTCTTTTGGTTTTCATGAGGAAAGGATGGCAGGTTGCACTAAAACAAATATTAAAATATTCTTCAAATATATTGATTGTAAAAGATTAGTGAAGGGTAAAGTGGGGTCCCATAAGGAACAAACAGGGTAAGCAGCTCACTGAAGCAGAGCAACTAAATAAGTAGAGACAACAAGGTGCAGGGCTGGATGAACACAGCAGGCCAAGCAGCATCATGGGAGCAGAGAGGCTGACGTTTCGGGCCTAGACCCTTCATCTCGGATTCTCCAGCATCTGCAGTTCCTACTATCTCCAATTAAATAAGTATCTTGCTTCTTTTGTTTTTCTAAACTAAGAACTGGTGACAATGGCCCAGTTGAACATGTGGGAGCTGAGAACTGAGTAGGATAGTGATAAAGAGGTGCTAAAAAGGCTGGCATTCTAACTAGGAAAGTTGCCAGGCAGAGTTGGGATCCATCTTAGATTGCTGAAAGAGGTAATGGAACAAATTGTACAGTTTGGACAGAAATTTTCCAGATGTCCATGAATACAGGATTAGTCCCAGCACGCTGGAGGATTGCAAATATAATGCCAT